TCGTTGTGAGGTTGCTGTAGATTCTGGTTGTTCTCAGACAGTAGGGCTAGATCATCCGCAAAGTCAAGGTCTGCCAGTTTCTCTCCCTCCCTCCACCTCACCCCCTCTCTACCATCCTCTGTAGTCTTCTCAAGACAAAGTCAATAGTACAAAAGGAAAAGGAACGGGGAAAGGATACATCCTTGTCTGACACCCGTGACAATGTCGAAGAAATCTGTTGTTCCTCCCTCTGTTCTGACGCAGCATCTTGAGTTTGCATAGAGACTCTTGAAGGCGTTGACGAACTGCTCTGGTATCCCATATGAGGCGGCAATATCCCAAAGAGATGCCCTATGGATACTGTCGAAAGCTTTCTTAAAATCTATGAAGTTTAATACCAGCGGTGTTTGGTGCTCAAGACATTGGTCAATGATGTTGCGGAGAGTGAAGATCTGTTCTGTACAGGAGCGGTTACTGCGAAATCCAGCTTGTTCCTCTCTCAACTTGCTGTCAACAGCTTTCTTCAGTCTTCTGAGTAGCACTGCGCAGAACACCTTCCCAGGAATTGAGAGTAGAGTAATGCCCCGCCAGTTGTTGCAGTCCGAGAGGTCTCCTTTCTTTGGGAGCTTCACTATCACCCCGTCTTGCCAGTCCCTGGGGACCTGTCCCTCCTGCCAACAGCGGTTCATCAGCCTGGTTAGCATCTCCACTGTGCTCTCACCACCATGCTTGAGCATCTCTGCTGAGATCTCATCCAGTCCAGCTGCCTTGTTGTTCTTCAGCGCTTTGATGGCTTCTGCAGTTTCCTCTCTCCTGATAGGCTCCTCACAGACCTCCAGGGTTTCAGCTGGTTCTTCTGTTGCAAAGTCAAACAGGGTGTCGGGATTTGGCTGGTTTAAGGTCTCCTGGAAGTGCTCCATCCATCGCAAGTCCTGTTCTTCTGTAGTTAGCAGAGTTTTCCCACTTTTGTCCTTTACAGGTACACTTGAACTGTTCCAAGTTCCAGTGAGCTCTCTAACAATACGGTACAGGGTTCTTGCATCATTCTTCTTGGCTGCTTCCTCAGCCTCAGAGCTTTTCTTTTCAAGCCACTCTCTCTTGTCTGTACGACAACTCTTCTTCACCTGCCGGTCGAGGTCACGATACAGGTTCCTTGTTTCTTCCTTCTTTTCTGCAGACCTAGCTCTGTCTCTTTCTCCCTTCATCTTCTTCCTTTCATCAATCAGCTTCCAGGTATCTTCCTTAATCCACTGTTCTTTTCGTGAGCCACGTCTCCGCCCTATGGTTTCCACTGCACTCTGTGTGAGGGTTTCCCTGAAGAAAGACCACTGATCTTCCAGGTCTGGTCCCGTCTCTTGCAGCAGCTGAAACCTGTTCTGTAGCTTTATCCGGTATTTTTCACTGCTAGCAGGATCTTTAAGCTTATCTGTTGCAAAGGGCTTTTGTTTCTTCTTTACTGTCAGTTTCTTCAGTCGTAGCCTCATCTTTGCTCCCAGAAGATGGTGGTCCGAACCCACATCTGCACCCCTGTACACTCTAACATCGAGAAGTGCAGACTTCCAGCGTTGACTGATGCAGATGTAGTCAATTTCATTATTAACTGTCCCATCTGGGGAACTCCAAGTTTTCTTATGTATCAACTTGTGTTGGAAGAAGGTATTACCGATAGTAAGGCTATTCAAATTGCAGAAAAACAGAAGACGCTCTCCATTGTCACTGGTCCTTAGCGCTGACCCAAACGGTCCAATTACACCCTCAAAACCTTGTCTACTGCTGTCAAGTTGAGCATTAAAGTCACCCATTAGTATTTTTACATCATGGTTGGGGATACTATCAAAGGTATCTTGAAGCAGTTCGTAAAACTGGTCCTTGATACTCTCCTCTGCATCATCAGTTGGTGCGTACACCTGAACAATGGTTGTTCTTCCATGTCTTGACTGGAAACGTGCTGTGATAATGCGGTCACAGACTGGCTTCCACCCAGTAAGTGCTCTGGAGGCTTCCCTGTCCAAGATCAAGCCAACTCCACGCCGGTGCTGATCTTCGTGTCCGGAGAAGAGAACTGTCTTTCCCTCGTTACACAACTTGCCACTCCCAGTCCATCTCATCTCACTGATTCCCAGGATGTTGAGTTGGTACTCATCAAACTCCTTCAGTAGCTGTGCCATCTTGCCACTCTGGTATAATGTACGTACATTCCAGGTTCCAATCTTAGTCTCACTCTTGGCACTCAGAATCCGGCATCTCGGGGCCCCAGCTTCCATATGGCTTTCACTGAGGTCCGTCATTGCAGGATCTTGTCCATTACCATCTTCTTCACGCCACTTGTTTCGATTTCCACTTGCTGTTTCTGTAGCAGGTTTATGTTTTACTGGGTTGGGGTGCTAACCCAACGCCAAACTCCCTCTATCGAGGGAGGTACAGGTCGGAACTGCTAATTAGTACCTCCCTGGTGTCGTAAGCCCCCCGAAGGTTACAGGTCTCCCATGCACCAGACCCAGGCAGGACACCAAGTCGGAACAAGCTGCTACACCTCGACAAGGTTACACAGTTCCTTATCCTGGTGGGGTGAGGGCCCCCAGGATCGTGTCCTTGATCCAACCGAAAAAGATATCGTCTGCAATGGACAAAATTCCGATACAACGTTAACATTGACCAAACATTCCACGAAACCCCGAAATGAGAGGGTGCTGTATCCAGCCACCGGTACAGGATAGCATACTCCTGCATAGCCTATATGCCCTGGTCATGACCCTGTCTGTCCAACACAATTATCAGTTCTAACCAATGAGAGCGTGGCAATTAGCGTTCGACCAATGAGAGAGTGACTAAGTATGTCCGTCATGTTCTAGTAATTTTCCTACACGAGGACGGGTGGGAGTTTTGATACTGCGTTTAAAATGTTCTTTTGCCGGCCATCCTACAACCAGCCACCCAGAGAAGCGGGTACAAACCTTCTCTGGGCGGCTGGCTGTAGGATGGCCGACAACAGAACGCGTTAAAAACTCTGCAAAACCGTTGCCCCACCTCTCGGGTCTTCCCCCCAGGTGTGCGTGGTCATGAACGGCCAGCGGTCGAAGCCCTTGACCGAGTCGTCGTCGTTGGGCCGTCTGCTCAGCAGGATGGACTTCGTGCCCATGGGTGACGTCATGTTGATGGTGACGTCACCTCTTCGCGTGGACCGCAGGGTCACCACAGCCTGGAGGACATCCAACATGGCGACTTAGAGATGGTCCATTCAATATGAATGATTAAAGATAATATTACATCTGAAAACCTAATTGGGGAACTGCTGTTTGAAGAATCTAGTTCATCTGAGGAGACATATTGTTTATGCTTCTTTCATTCCAAACGTTAACCTCTAACCTGGTCATTGACCTGATTTATTGACGTCTGTCACCATGGTAACTAGTGTAGGGTTATATCATGTTGCAATTTTATAGCAGGAGGGATTTAGGCGCCTGTCTGACCATACATATGAATGTCTTTGAGTAAGAATTAACAGAGCAGACCATATGCGAAGGTATTAAAACATTATGCATTTGCTTCGCAAATGTTACCTTTCTAGTTGAATTCTCTTTCTTGAATGACCATGATGTTTTTACCTCCAGGGAAGGAGATATCCTTCCGCGGAAGGGTGCTGTTTTCGGTAATGTTTACATGTTCGCAGCTGTAGCTTGCGGTGGGTTTCTTTTCGGTTTACGATTAGTTATTTGGAGCCATATGATGCCAATGTGGATTGCTTTTTTTCATTCTATGTGTTTTCGGGTGTTGAAATAAAATAATTGGACACCCCTGTACAGCACGCAGTGTGATCGTCTAATGATACGGACTGTTATGAAAGTCTATGCGATAATACGGGTCCGGGTTATACTATTTTTTTACAATGGGGGTGTTTTTTCCTGTATATATAGCTGTACAGTAATTGACGTACTTGGGTAACTTTCTTCTAAAATCTGTCTAAACTGACCTGCACATGTTCCAAATAGCGCACGAAGTTCTCCTGGCCCTCACACGCGTCAGTGGTCAGTTTGACCACAATCCTCCCCTCTGCTGGGATCGGCCTGCCGATGGACAATGGGCCACGTTTAGTAAAGAATTGTAATCCTACAATTAAAGTCTTTGTTAATTGTATCAATCAATCAATCAATCAATCGATTGAAGGTGTTGTGCACACTTAAGAGATGGCAGACTTCACGCAACCACAGCCCATGACGTCATCACCCACACTGCTATGGGATCAGAAATAAAACACACAGATACACAGACATACAAGTCAGAAACAATACTTCACTCAGCAGCTGCAGCGATTTAACTATTGCATAATTATGTTGCAGTCAATTTTTGTTATTTCCAAAAATACTAGTAGTTTCATCAGGTTTGTAGAGTATAACATACAGGAGTTTTCTTTTACACAACCGAGCTTGTCCTACGCTTGCGTTTCTGGTGTCTATCAGACACCTTCCTCAGAGCTTCTGACTGGAGTTCTGCTTCTCGCCGCTGTATGTAAGAGATGTAGGTGGCGCTTTTGAGGCGAGAAGACAATCCCAAACGTGGCTAAGTTTGAATCGTCCCGGTTCACCACTGGCTTCCTTATCCAGACTCCAGTGTTCTCGGCGCAAAAGCGCCACCTACATCGGCTATATATAGCGCTAGCAACGAGAAGCAGAACTCCAGTCAGAAGCTCTGAGGACGGTGTCTGATTGACACCGGTACGTAAGCAAGGTAGGACAAGTTTGGTTTTGTAAAAGAAAAACCCATATATCCATTTTTCGTTACGGTAGTATTTGAAATTGAAATCACAGGGAAGGGGCACAGAAACTCAGAAAAAAAAGCTGAAGCCGTAGAGCTCGAGTTAACCATAGCACAGACCAGTAGGGGTTTACCCCCCTGAAATTGCATTGGATGTAGGGCTGCGTGCCGGTCCAGGTGGACCGGTACGGACTGGAAAAATAGCATCAGTCCGAAAAAAACAAAACGTCGGTGGACCGGTTTTTTGGACCGGAACAAAAATTCATACTTGATCACTGGTGACACACAAGGAGGCCTGCCAGGAAAATGAACATCCAGCGTTAAAATAAAGAGATTTACACAACTTATGACGTTTTGTCCCAAGTTCAGTAAGCGTGGGTCACTAAGAGGGTGACTGAGAACTAGTGAGAAGTGAGATAGGAAACCTAGTTATATCATCCATGGATATATTGAAAGATACAGGACAAATTGTCAACACTTTATTCATGTTTCTGTTACCCTGGGTGCCAAACTCGTTCTTCGGGCGGCAAGAGCCTTTCGCCCGCCGGTCTAAATTACTGCTACGGGGGAGTCTAGCCCGGGGGGAGTTTGGCCGCCCTCCAAACGTTGGAGGGCCGATATACTCCTATGCGGGCGAAGTACCCTGGCTGCCGAAAAAAACGGTTAGCGGCCTGTAGGGCCGATATACTCCTATGCGGGCGAAGTACCTTGGCTGCCGAAAAAAACGGTTAGCGGCCTGTAAACTTGGCTGGCACCCAGGGTATGTTTCTGTCATTGTTGAAGAATTTCAGTAGAACATGTGACGCGCGTGAATTTTCAGGTACAGGTACAGGTCCGGACCTGGACCTAAACCTCTGTACCTGTACCAGTACCTGATGTTACGAAAAGGTACGCAGCCCTAATTGGATGCGATTTTTAGAAAAAAAAAAACTTACTTGGTGTCTGCCATGGACGTGCCGGTGCAGTGGAACCGTTTGGGCACGGTGTTCCAGTCCTGGGCCATCTTCACCATGGCGCCGGCGTCCAGCACGCCGAAGCCGAACAGGTGGTTGAACTCCAGCCCGACGCCGTTCCGCCGCCACTCGTGCACGGCGTCGTACAGCTGGTTCCGCTTGGACGTCAGGACCGTCAGGTGCTGCATGTCCCGCCACGTCAGGTTCGGACTGAAGGAAGACAACAGGCTTGCCATGAGTCTGTCCAACACAATTATCAGTTCTAACCAATGAGAGCGTGGCAATTAGCGTTCGACCAATGAGAGAGTGACTACGTATGTCCGTCATGTACTATTAATTTTCCTACACGAGGACAGAGGACGGGTGGGAGTTTTGATACTGATGGTGCTGTATCTAGCCACCGGTACAGGATAGCATACACCTGCACTGGCCATAGCATACATATATGCCCTAGGCATTACCCTGTCTGTCCAACACAATTATCAGTTCTAACCAATGAGAGAAATGGCAATTAGCGTTCGACCAATGAGAGAGTGACTACGCATGTCCGTCATGTACTGGTAATTTTCCTACACGAGGACAGAGGACGGGTGGGAGTTTTGTTACTGCGTTTAACATGTTCGTTTGCCGGCCATCCTACAACCAGCCACCCAGAGAAGCGGGTAGCAAGGGTACCGAAGTAACGGGTTCCTCACTGGCCACCCAGTGCCGAACTCGCGGGGGAAAGTGGCATCGGCACTCGGGGCCCTGTGTGGAAGGAAACTCCGCACAGGAATTCTAGTGCTGAACCACTTTTTTTCCCGTGCTGAAGCTCCGCCAGAACTGGAATTCCAGAGCTGAATCTCAACTCCGCACTCGTTTTCCAGTGCTAAATTCCACTGAACACCAAGTGTTGACGTCCCTTCGGCACTGGAGATCTAGGACGGAAGCCGCCTCACCTCTGTATACCCAGTGCTGAGAAAGGAACCCGTTACTTCGGTACTTTTGGAAGCGGGCAAAAACCTTCTCTGGGCGGCTGGCTGTAGGATGGCCGGCAAAAGAACGCATTAAAAATTATATTCTACAAAACGCAGTATCAAAACTCCCGGAGGCCTGCACAGGCCAGGGGGATTGCTGTGTCCAGAATCTGTGTGAATATGTGGTTTAGCACAATAACTTGCCAATAAGCTATTGATGGATTGTCATGAAACTTGGTAGATGGTTACATTTTTTGCCCCCCTAGCGGGTCGTTTGCCGCAGACTATACATATTTTCCGGAAGTTTGAAATCTATGATTTCTTGTTGCACCTGAAGATGTTTCCTCCAACAAATGTCTCCGTACTTACACGTAGCACCTTCGGAAGGAAATCTAGGCTCTATCTGTAACTCTCTGAACATTCCAGCGACAAAGGACTGCCTTGGAGAGTGAGTGTGGTACCGAGAATATTATCATCACCATTTCTCAAATGTAGAGGCCGACACCAAACTTTTGGAAGACGCACAAGAGGAAGACCGAGTTAAACTTACCAAAGCTGTGTTTGTGAAAATGCAAAACTGGTAACGTCAATGAGTAGAAGCAGCATAGCTTTTTAGAACTAAAGGGGCGTTTACTGGCCCAAGATCGTCAGACGACGAATTACTGACGCGGGTCACTCAGACACATAAGGAGGCCTGAATAAGTACAGTGAAGTTTTTTATACTTAAAAGGATTAACATAAGAATCACATACACGTACTACTAGTATATGGTGACAGGAGCAGAGCAGACCATGAAATTGCAACATTATGTAACCCACCACCAGTCACCATGGTGACAGACGTCAACAAATCATGTCATTGGTCAGGTCAGAGGTCACTGTTTGGAAAAGAAGAAGAGGAAGAAACTGAGCAAAAACAATATGTTTGCCTTCGGTAAACATAAAAAATGACGTACTTGGCCTCGAGTGCCAGTGCGAAGACCCCGGCTGCCTCTGGTGCTGCTGCCGAGGTGCCTGAGTGCTTCAGTGTGCAGTTCCCGTACAGGTCCGTGGTGGCCTACAGGAAAGGAGGGAACATATACAGCTTGAACTAGATGTGCAGGGCAAATGACAGTAATAGGACTTGGCGTATTATAACATAGTATGTCAGAACACAGTTGTCGTCTACCTGTTATAATAAAACTAGAGCTATGTGTCTAAAACTAATGTTAATCGAAACAGCCCGGCCGGGCCCCGGTGTGGAAATGTGACCTCAGCATTTAGCTCAAAGATTTGACCGAACGTCGTGTAGTGCCCCAATCGATTGCCTGCACCTCCTCGATCGCATACAAAAGAGAATTTACGTGACCATAGGCTATCCTCTGGCCTCCAAGTTAGACCCCCTTTCTCATAGACGTAATGTTGCCTCTCTATCCCTCTTTTACAGATATTTTCATGGTCATTGCTCTGCAGAACTCACCCAACTAGTTCCACCAACTTTTAAGCGCTCCACTAGGTTCTCCACTAGCTCACACAACTTCGCCGTCCAAATTCCTTGTTCGAAATCTTTTTTACAGTGACAGTTTCTTTCCCCATACGGCCAAGCTTTGGAATCCCTCCCGGACAAGTGTTTCCCACCAACCTACAATCTACAGGCTTTCAAATCAAACGTTCACCGCCATCTCTTGACATAGCCATGTTTCTAGTTCAATGCCGAGAAGTGGTCGTATAGGCCTTGCATGGAACTACTCCGTTAAAAAAAAAGAGCCGTGACGCACCACGCCGGCCTCAGGGTGCCGGTTCCTGCCGTTACTGAAGGTGGAGGCGAGCGTGGAGGAGCAGGACTCGTCGTACAGAGCCGTGCGCCCGTCGTTGATGGCGGAGTTGATGGAGATGGTCCACATGGAGGAGGCGTAGCCGTCACAGTTACAGTCGTCCTGACTACCCCCGTCACCGGACGCCCACACGTAGATACTGCCTTTCCCACCACGGCCCTGGGAGGGGAAAGAAACCAATGAATGAATCAATCAATCAATCAATCACAGTTACAGTCGTCCTGACTACCCCCGTCACCGGACGCCCACACGTAGATACTGCCTTTCCCACCACGGCCCTGGGAGGGGAAAGAGATCAATCAATCAATCAATCAATCAATCAATCAATCAATCACAGTTACAGTCGTCCTGACTACCCCCGTCACCGGACGCCCACACGTAGATACTGCCTTTCCCACCACGGCCCTGGGAGGGGAAAGAAACCAATCAGAAACCAACCTACAGTGGGCCTCACTGGAAGGCAGAAGAAAAATGTCCAGACTATGCATGATGTACAAAATGACTAAAACTGGTGGACATCCCAACTACTAAGTACCTAATACCAGCCCAGAAGAGAACAAGAAATAGCCATGCCTTCAAGTACCAGAGTTATCAACCAAGGATTGAGGTGTTTAAGAATTCATTCTTTCCTAGAACTATCGCAGAGTGGAACTCATGATCACTGTCACCAAGTACAGTAGGGGCATTGTCATTAGATGGTTTTAAACAATGTCTAGAGTTAGAAGTTCAAGGGTTAGGTGTAACAAGTCGATTGGTATAATATATCCAGCTGCCGCCGCGCCGCATGCCTGCGAAGCTGGTGTGTTACGCCGAAAGGCGGTTATACCGGCTATACAGATACAGATACAGAATCAATAAATCTATCTATCTATCTGTCTGTCTACTCGTATACGGATCTGGATGCAATAGAGACTAACAGGAACCGTGCCTGATCCTAACCCTAAGATGTTTAGGCATAGAACTAGATAGGCACGGTTCCGGATACAATCGGGGATAACAAAAACCGTGCCTGATCCTAATCCTAACCCATTCAGGTACAGAACAAGATTAAACACGGTTCTGGATACAATAGAAATTATCCAGAAGCCTGATCCTAACCAATTCAGACATAGAACTGGATAGGCACAGTTCTGGATACAATAGAGATTACTAATCCTAACCCATTCTGGCATACTAGTAGAACAAGATAGGCACGGTTCTGGATACAATGGACATTATCCAAAAGGCTGATCCTAAGCCATTCGGGAATAGAACTGAATAGGCACGGTTCTGGATACGATAACGACCTTGAGCCCTGTACCATTTCTACATTTTATTTTATTTTTGAGTGCAAAACAATAAATAAACAAACAAACAAACAAATAAACAAACCTTATTGACGCCGTCCGCCATGGCCTGCACGGTAAGTTCGCGCGGCCCGTCCACCGTCCGGCCGTCGTCCGTCGGCCCCCAGCTGGCGCTGTAGATGTCGATCTCCTGCGGCTTGTGCCCCATGGAGGACGCCTCGATGATATCCGTCATGAACGGCTGGTCCAACATGCGGATGCCTGGGGAATTAACGGAGAGTCAGCAACGTTGTGAACACGTCCCACTAATGGTAAGGCCATGTTAATTTGATTATATGGATGACATCCACTCGCGTATGAATTTTCGGCCGTTTCCAAAAAAAAATTTCAACCATACTGTAAACCGTTGAAGTTGAAAAAAAAAACATTGGAAAACGATACCAATGTTGTAGATGCCAAATTCAAACGAAAAAGACGAAAATGTAAAGAAATGAATTTGAAGAGTAGATTATTTCCCAAACCATACTCTGTGTGATTTGTTCAATCTTCAAAACCACGTAGATTTCATAATGAAAGCAACTTTTTTTTGGCCAAACTTTTTTTTTATTTCACGCTCGCTTCGGTTTTTGGGTTCCCAGAGGATGTCATCCTTATAATCAAATCAACATGGCCTAATGGTTCATTTAAAAACCAACCAAGGCCATGTTGGTTTGACGTGCCCGTAGTCGGTTCGGAAGAACACACGCTCAAAGGTCCACTTTTTATCTGTAGGTCCAAGATTTTTCTGTAAATGGTGGACTGATTTGTTTCACCAGCGGGACTGCAATCCTATTTGTCTCTCTGATTTTTAATCATAATCATGTAATAGTTTAAAAAAAACACCCTGGGTTAGACTGACATGCAGGGCTCACTGCACAAAAAGTGGGCTTTACCAGTAGCGCTTAGTATAGGAAATTGCTGTACCAGTGCAGCTTATAGCCTAAAGCAACATCGCCGGACATACTTGACAATTATCATTATTGGTATACCCATGCAGTGACGTGTGCCACAACAAGTGCTTGTGCTTAAGGCCACAGCATGTAAATTTTATGGATGACATCCTCCACAAACTCCAAATCTAATGCGATAGGGCGGGAAAAAAAACAGGCGGCCAAAAAAAAAAAAATTCCTACATTTTCCAATTTTGACACCATAAACCTTGTTTTAACAAGAAATGATACCTATATTGTACTATGGCAACTATAAAACATCCATTGTCACTGAAAAATCATTGTACTTTTGATTCAGTGGAAACATCTCACATAAAAGTACATGTAATGAAATACATGCATCAAAGTAGAAGACAAAACAATAAATCAGAGCCTTGTCTTGTTTTGTTTCTTCTCTTCATATTTATCTGCCACCCACGTTCCGGCATGGCCCATTTTCGGCATGTTGACCACTGTCAGAGGGCAGCGAAATTTCTTTTTTTTTTTCCAAAATCAGGCGAAAATTAATGCGCGCGCTGATGTCATCCATAAAAATTACTTTCTGTGCCCTAATCTCGCCAAAAAAAAGGTAAGTTCCAAGGAAGGAAGTAAAGTTCGTACCTGCCACTCTGGCGCCGTAGGCCACGCCCACTCCGCACAGCCCGTTGTTGATTTTCCCCACCACCTCTCCGGCACAGCGGGTTCCATGGCTGACAAAAAGAAAAAAATACTTTGTGTCATCACAAAGTATTATCTGCAACAAGACTGGCAATGAAAACATACATTGCCATGGCGACGGTGGTTGCTGTTGGGGTTATTGTTTTTTTATTGTGATTTTTAGGAAGACTTGGTACCTGTTAAGTCTAGACAGGTCTTCCCAAGGGTTTCCAGGAATGTGGGCATAGAAATGCCTGTGGACATTCCGCATGCCTGTGGACAAAATGCCTATACCATTCCTAGAATTCTTGCAAACTGCACACAATACTGTACCATTAGGCTCCTCCCTGAGACGTCGCCAAAAAAACGTTGTGTACCAGATAGCAAATGGAGCCTTTTGTTCAATAGAGATTTTTTGACCCCTGCTAAAAGTGGTAGACACATTGGTGAATAAAAAAAATAGCATGTTTTACCAAGGACTCTATATAGAAGCTCCTTGGTTTTACACAACATTACACAAGATTTCATATTTTAAGATCTCTGAATTCTCTACGCGGTGAAAACGAGTACCTAGCTTCGGTTAGGGACGTCCTCCGGATAAGACGTTACATGGAAGCCCCAAGTTACATGGATGGGAACAGCCACACCCCACGCAGATTTAAGAACCCAACACACCGAAAAAAAAAGTAAGAAAATGCCCCGGTGTGCGAAGGTCCAAATACTAGTAGTAACTACTATCTAGCAGTTGGTGATTCACAGTACAAATCACCTACTCTCCAAGCAGAGGTTTGAGTTTGGGGTTATTTTAACCCTAAACAGTACACCTGGGGTCCGCGCGGACCCTAGCACTATATATTCTGTAATATCTTTTTTGTTTCTAAAGATTTTTTTCTGATATTTTAGATAATTGTCACCCACAAAGTTGTCTCTCAATACAGTGCAGAAAACTCCGTTTCTACCATTTATGAAAAAAATTATATCTGATTTTCTTTTGGGGTCCGCGCGGACCCCAGCCGGCTTTCGATCATAATGGATACACTGGCGTTCTTATACATTACCTTATTTCCGTTTTTATATGTTTTTATGCACTCATCGTATGTCTACCATGTTTTCAGAGAATGGTGTAATAATAGAATTAAATTTTAATAACTTTGGTGTAATTCTGACGTCATATGACGTCAGAGCTAATAATATAGTCCGCCATATTGGATTTTGACCAATGACGTCATCAAATTAGCATATTCTATGCATATTAAATGATTGAACTTATATTTAATTATGTAAGATGTTATTAATGTTGGAAAAGAAGTGTAATTTAATATAAAACTCAGAAAATTTTTATGTTTAAACCAAAATTACTTCTATTTTAAAAAAACTGCCTGCTAGAAACCCGTTGCCATGGCAACACAAAAAAACATCAACTTACTAGTATTCAACTAATATGAACTTTTTTCCAGAGACATTTTAGGAAAGGTCTCCAAATTTGATACTTCTAGCGCAAGCCGTTTAGCCGCTATCTCAGATCAAAGTTGGGCCTCAAAAGCCCCTTCAGTCTGAAATGGGTTAAAAAATCGGGTATTTCTTCTTGTCTTCTTTTCTTCACAAAAAAAAAGAAAAAGTTCAAAATGTACGATTTTTGTATGTAAAGTGGACACAGAGGTTCCCACATCAGTTTGCAAAACAATTGAGCTGGTAGCATGTTGATAATTTCTAAAAATTAGCAAAAAAACTGCTCTGGGGTCCGCGCGGACCCCAGGTGTACAGATTAATCAGTCCGGGAAGGTGTACTGTTGAGGGTTAAGCGTGTTTTAGGCTTTTTTATCGGGGTTTCTCTTTTGCACTGGATTTTTTTTCCCACCAAACCCAACGGGAAAAAATCCAGTGCAAAAGAGAAACCCAGATAAAAAAAGCCTAAAACACGCTAAAAATAACCCCAAACTCAAACCTCTGCTTGGAGAGTACAAATCACCTGGACGTAGGCGTGGTGAACCCCTGTCTCGTATTAGCCTCAAAGTTAACCCCGTGATAGTTGGGTAGCCTTGGCTGTATCTTTAGCCAATGAGGTTAAAGATCAATTGATTCGACAGCGTGTTGTTTCAGCCAAAGTAATGAACAAATGATAGCAAACATGTTTTCCCGGCAAAGTTGACAACAGTGAAAAGAAAGAAAGTGATCTCGATCTAGTTTAGCTCATTGAGGAGCTAATCTTCCACTGGTCGTGACAGAGAAGACAGACGCTATGTACAGTAAGTTACAGGTTCATTGTACCAGGGAAATTCCCCTAGCTCTTTTCGACAAGCACAATGAACAGTGGACCACGGTTAACGTGCCGTCCGAAGGACTGCGACCCTAAACAGTAGCGTGCATGTCGGGTGGGCGACATCAGCCGGGATTCGAACTCCCAACCTCTTAGTCCAGAGGCAGGATCGCTAACCACTGGACTACGCACGCTACTCCACATGAAAGTGAAAGGCAAAGTGTACCTATTGAACCAGTCCTCCGTGTATCGGGGGTACGGGAAGGCGTCATTACTGCTGAAGTCGTAACTAGCGTCTGCGTTCTGAGGAAACATCATATCTATACGTCAGCCATGATTTTCATCAATTTCCTAATGTAAGACTTGTTTGTTGTTTATTCGCACATAAAATTTAAAAACAAAAACAAAACAATTTGAAATTCTCTCTATATATATATATCATTCATCTTGTTTTGTTGTGACCTGTACTTAGCCAAGTGTGGCAGAAATGTGCAATAAAGGTCTTCATTATTAATTTCCACAAGAATTTCCAGTGTTTTCTGAGGTCCAAACAAGTACTGATGAGGACAGAGAATTTGTGTCACCAATGTGTAAAGAACTGCACATATTTGCCACCAAGAGCCGTATATTTGTTTTATTCTGATGACATGAGATATAGTTCAAGCAGAGAAATTTTATTTAATGAAGAGACAACTTAACTGTCTGGTTTGTAATATTCGGAAACATTTTTACAAACAAAAATAGCACTTTAGGATCTTCATATCAACTCAATCTAGTCTTTTTAGCATTTGACCACAGCAAGTAAACTTTATGGATGACATTAGCGCGCGCATTAATTTTCGCCTGATTTTGGAAAAAAAAGAACTTTTGTTGTCCTCTGACAGTGGTCAACATGCCAGAACGTATTGTTGTTTTTTCTTTTACTTTGATGCAGTTTTGTTTACACTTTCGCATTGGATTTGGAGTCTGCGGAGGATGTCATCCATAAAATTTACTTGCTGTGGCCTTAGTGGCTAAAAAAGCCGGCTGCAAGATTAAAGTCAAACAACATGTTTTTAAAAAGTAGCTCAAAAGGCCCAAGCAAAAATTAGACAACTTTCATAACTGAAAGGAAGACAAGCACAACTTACGTAATTATCAGCCAAGTCAGGGTGCAGGTAGTCAACTCCTAGTGGTGAGAAAAAATCAACATAACGTGGTGAGTTATGTAAGTTGCTGAAGCGTGTATCCCATATAGCCTGGGAACCAGCCCTACGAGCTATTTCTAGTAGCGGCGGTGGCTAGCCTGGAATCTATCCTAATAGTTCGTAGCGATGGATTCCAGGCTATATCCCAGGTGAGGTAAGGCGTCCTAGTGTGTCTGTGCACCGGTATTTAAGAATTAAAAGTATTTAAGATCTTTTCGAAGTATACATGCGGCCATGTTTAAACGAAAACGAAGCTTGGAAGGAAACAAACAAAAAGGCGTCACCGAGAAATTCTCAACAAAGACACGTCTTGCCACTTCCACTGAAGTAAATCACCCTTTCTTCCTCCATTCACCACCTCTTGGGAGGAGGTTCCATGCTGAAAGCTTCTTTCCAAGAACAACATCACTTTGGAATAAGCTACCTCGTGATTGCTTCCCCTATGAGTATAACCTTAAACTCTTCAAGTCTAAAGTCAACAAACATCTGTCCTCTCTGGCTGTTCTGTAACCCAAAACATTTAAAGCTTATTGGCTCCCATGAGCCTTGTTTTGTGGTGACCGATGACGTAAATAAAGAATAAAATAAAGAGATACTCGGGGACCACGGGGTTCGCCCATTAAGACTGTTTTTTTTTATTTGACCTTGACCTACCGTCGTCCATAATGGCGATGGTGACGCCCTGTCCGGTGTAGCCCATCTCCCACGCCTCCAGGACATTCAGGTCCAGTCCGGGCTTCCCATCCGCCTGACCAGTATTCAACTACACAAACAAACAAACAAACACACAAACAAATAAACAAACAAAAAAGATGACTTATGAGAGAAGTAAATTTAAAGGAGCCAATTTACATCAGTGACGGGGGACGATATCGACTTCCCACCAACTTTGTGGCGCATTGCTGGTATCACACGTGAACAAAAAACGTGATTACCGTTAAAGAGGCCAGTAATACTATATAATGACCCCACCCTGCCGATATAAATTCGATAACATAAACTACCAGACTTCAGTCTTGTTCTGGCAGCCGTGCAGTGTACATGGGGGAGGCCTGTCTAAGACAGTTTAGCTTGCCAAGTAAAAATTTCTCTTCAAGACACTTTAAAATGAGACACACACACATATATAAGAAGCTATATTCACGAGTATCCAGAAATATGAAGTATACTGGCTTGCCGTATTCTGACTTGTAAGTTGTAGCTTGAGACCTTGGTTGACAGTTACATGCCCAGTTCTACATACAGAGCCTAAGTCCATACTGGTTTATCTGACTGCAAGTAGGCATCACATTTACAAGCCATATGTCAGACACAAAACTGCCAAAGCTAATTCAGTTGTGAGAAAGACAGATACAAGTAGACACTTTGAAAGTTTGATATAGCAAGGAAGGGTATTATGTATATAGTAAGGGCGCCATATACATGTGCATGTATGTCATTGGATAAAACTTTGACAGGGGCTGATTTGAAAGTTGGAATTTGTTCAAGATTGATTTTTCGAACTGAAAGTTGCGATTTCCTTGCTTATGTGGCTTCGTAACAAGTATCTGGGTCATTCTGCCTTTTGAAAATGTTACACTGAAAACCAGTAGATGATAAAAAATTTGAATCTTTGAAAACTGACCAGTATGTAAATGCTCCTGCCTTTGTTCTGAAGGATAGACAGTCTAGGATTTTTATGAGTTTATGGGCCAATTCACTATTCAATCTGCTGGGAAGGTCACAGTGGGAGCACTTCCTTATTGTTTTTACCCAGGGTAAAATACTGGCCGGTTTAAAGCAACTAGGTCCAAAAGCAGAGGAATTGATTCGGTCAAATCTTTCGGTAATTAATTGAGTTACGGAAATTCTTTGGAGAACAGTTAATTCAATTAAGTAAGTAATTCTTTGGAGTTTATTCAAGTTAATCATTGGAGAAAAATTACATACAAAGGTAAAATGCCATTTTTCTTACCAGGTACCACTGAACGTACTAGGTACCACTGACTGTACTCACCAGGTACCACTGTTTGGGGAAGAGCGGGTCGTTGATGTCGATCTGACGGTAGTTGTCGGTCACGTGGTTATACCCGCGCTTCCTGCGGGGAAAGCCCTGTTGTTGCACTGCACTTCGGACCTGGAGTAACAGGGGGAGCTGCTTCAGCAACGACTTGAAATCAAACTATTAATGGCGATGACAAAATGCCTCCACCCCTTAGGCGTTGCCAAAAATTACATGAATATTTTCATATTTCACATCATTATTATTTATTTATCATCGTTATTATTATCATTTTCATACTTTTACCTTATCAGTTTATCAAGGCCAGGTAACGAGGTACATTTATAGAAAACTGTTACTCAATTTGACAGATTTGAAAACTGGATTTGAAAACTGACAGTTGCTTGAGTTACAGTTTTCTTGTACGTATCATTCAAGATATCTTTATTGAGCTATCGCAGTGAAAATATCACTGAATTGCAGTCAATTTACAGACAATTTGTTTTAAAAACGCTCACAAAGACATATAATATTGCACATAATTCTGAATCCTTTGGTTAAAAGGCACTCTATGTATTTTTTTTCGCAAAAATTTGAAATATTCTAATTATACTAAATTTTGGTATTATTAACAGTTACTATCACTTTTCAACACATTTGTGTCATTATTTCACATTTTTTACGTATATTTTGTCCGTTCAAATAGTCCTTGTTGGGTTCCAGGTGGCACCGGTTTGCTCAGGACAACAACAACATACAGGGGTTGCCCCCCTGGGTGGCTAATTGGCCCGGGCATGCCAGGCTTGATAGACAGGGGCACATGTCACAAGATGTTAGTCTCCTTAGAAAAAATCTTTCACATGAGGTGGAATATAATCATCAACTTGGAGTATTTTGTTGGGCACGAATAAACTGTGGTCATCATCCCTTCAAAAGAGATAAAAGATCTGGTAAACGATTAGGTATTTCAGAAACTGGTAAGCTATCAACTGACACCCCACTGGGATGTAGGTCAAACCACTGGCAGTGGGCAATACCATATGTACGGTGTGGCCTGGTGTGGCCAGAGGTTGAATAGAAGATCATTCACAGTTTCCTAAGCTTATAAGGAGCAAGGATGTTGTATTTTTTGTTGCGGAGTATAATTTTGGAATACTAAAGGGTTAAGTCAATGTACTATGTAAAGAAAAGAATGAAAAATATACTTTTTGTATTGTCAAAAAACTACATAGAGTGGCTTTAAGAATACTTGTTTGCAGGGAAGTATATTACTGCTCGTAAGACTAAAATCTTTTAGTTACAGCATGAAAACGTTTAAAAAATGTACACGCAATATTTGGAGTTATTCAGTGACTCATGGTTAAAAGTAAATAAATTCAATATATACAAGGGTTAAGAGTTGTTTGATTTCACTATGAACAGTATAAACGAAATTTACAAATGCCAGACATTATATATGGACGGTTGGGGATGATTATTGTCCGTATTTGTACGTATGAATACATAAGGCCATAGCAGGTAAGTTTTCTGGATGACATACTCCGCAGACTCCAAATCTAATGCGATAGGGCGAAAACAAAACAAGGTGGGCCAAAAAAACAAGATTTCTGTTTTCAAATTTTGAGATCATAAACCTTTTTAAATAAGATTTTTTTGATTCAGTGGCAACATCACATATAAAAGAATTAAATACAAAACTGCAAAAAAAAGTAAAAGTAAATGATAAATAACCCTTGTCTGGTCTCCTCTCTTCACATTTGTCTGTCATCCAAGTTCTGGCATGGCAACAGACATATTTACCAATTTTCGGTATGTTGTCCACTGTCAAAGGGCAACAAAATTTCTTTTTTTAAATCAGGCGAAAATCAATGCGCGCGTCGATGACGATGTCATCCATAAATTTTACTTGCTGTGGCCTAATTATCGTCTTCTGAATCACTGTATATGACGCACAGATAAAAAGACGAACTGAAACTCGTCACGTGACTCTACTCACCCGGATGTCATTCTCCAGCCTGCTCTGCTGCGCCGCACTGCGCCTGCGCCGGATATGGGGCACGCCCCGGTGGCGGAAGTGGTACAAGTCTCTCTGTTCACGGATCTAGAAAAAAGAAAGATAAAGGAATGTTTAAAGTTAAAACTTTTGGTCCAATACAAAAAATTCCGGATCCCTCACCTAGAGCTTTCGACCAGTCACTCTGGTCTTCCTCAGTAGACTGACCCAGTGAAGCTTGTCACGTGGTTTCTTTGAAATGTGACGTCAACACTGGGTCAAAGGTATCTGGTAGACGATGTCGCTGAAACACTGTAAGAATACTGGGCACCGAACAAGAAGCTAGATGTGACAAGCCTCACTGGGTCAGTCTACTGAGGAAGACCAGAGTGACTGGTCGAAAGCTCTAGTTGAGAGAATTTTTTGTGTTGGATCTAAAGTTAGGATGGGGACAGCACCAGTCAGAAGTCCTTCCGCCAAATCTCCTCTGAATCTGAAGGAAAAGTGATGTTCTGTGGAGGTCATGTGGGGTGGGACCACTCTAAACAAGAAGCTAGATGATAAAGATTTTAAAATGCCTCATACCTGTATACGTACAAGGAGTTAAAGGCATTCCAATGCAGTTTTTAGTAGCTTGGGTGCCATCCCATTTAACGGCAAAAAATTTTCGGGGTTTCCGGTACAAATCGGATGGCATCAGGATAGTTTTTAGGGCTTGGAAACCCGATTTTTCCAAGCTAAGCCAATATTCTAGTCACTTATCTACATACTAAAAGTTGAAACAGCACTGTCCCAATGCATATCGACAGCAAAAAATGCCCAAAATTCTGACTAAAAATGTTACTGTTAGGACCTGGATTGATTTTAGGTTACCACCCGGAAAATAAAGGACTAACCCTGGGACTTGGTTCTGCAGTTTTGAATGCCGAAAGTATGATATACTGATTGAAATGTGCTAATGTGAAGCAGAATGTGTCCATATCATACAGATTGTCTTATTCAGAATATGTCCAGTTTTGCCACCCCGAAATTGCATTGGATGCATTGAAGGGAAAACCGTTTATTACCTTGGAGGTATTGTTTTTGTCCATCTGTCAGTCTGTCTGCATAGTCGTGTGTGCGTGTGTGTGTGTTTGTGCGTGTGTGTGTGTGTGTTTGTGTGTGTGTGTGTGTGTGTGTGTGTGTGTGTGTGTGTCCGTGTTGCTTTCACAGGTATCAAGTGATTTCCTCGCACCTGATAGCAAAATGAACAAAAATTTCATCCCCTCCTAAAAAGCGGTGACTTGTAGATTTAATATTTCATGGAGGTCTGAGGTATGCGAATTCTTTTATTGCTTATTTTTGGGGGGAATTTCATTCAAAAATCCTTCAGGGCGTAAGTGGTGTTAATGCTGTCATTTACGAGTTCAAACGGCGGTTTACCCCTTGGAAACGCTCCCGGACCAGGAAATTATCTTGTGGTCGGGCTAAATCTCCGTACAAAACGCACCGTTTCATTCCGTCTAGGAAGCCAAATGCACACTAAAATGCTGACTATCAAGGGCGCATGTCTAAGATGGTAGAAGAAACCGCCACAGGAATGACTTGGTGGGCACTTAACGCGTTTTCCGTGCGTCAATGAAGACTCCTTCCAGCGATCTTTGCCCAGTTTGACGTCAAAAGAACTGCCTCACTACTTAGAAGTGTTTAGAAGTAAAAAGATAAAAGGCCGTTCAGGCTTTCAGCATCTCGCTCTTGCCTGGAACTAGAAATGTGACTTGAATCATAAGGATCATTTGCGTAGACATTGGAGATCGTTGACTCGAATCAGATCGAAGGACAACGTCGGCAGAACGAATTGCGCCCAGATTTTTTTCCCGTTGCAGACGATATCTTTTCCAACATTTGAAAACTATAGACGGGATGTCATCTTTAATTACCCGAATATGACTTTAAACGATTCGTTCTGCTCAAGTACGCCTATGAACAGTACATTATGGGGTTCCAGAATCGTGCTGTATCCAGAACCGTACTGTATCCAGAACCGGGCTGTATCCAGAACCGTGCTCATGAATCCAGAACGGTGCTGTATCCAGAACCGTGCTGTATCCAGACCCGTGCTGTATCCAAAACCGGGCTGTATCCAGATCCGGACTGTATTCAGAACCGTGCTGAATCCAGAATCGTGCTGAATCCAGAACCGTGCTGAATCCAGAACCGTGCTGTATCCAGAACCGTGCTGAATCCAGAACCGTGCTGTATCCAGAACCGTGCTGAATCCATAACCGTGCTCTATCCAGAACCATGCTTAACCGAGAACCGTTCTGTATCCAGAACCGTTCTGTATCCAGAACCGTGCACAGACACGATTCTAGGTATTTCATGCGTGTCCAGAATAGTGCTTGCTATGGGGAGACTATCGACAACCGTATCTGATACCTGGAAAGGCACGGTTCTGGATACATACCTCTATGGGACTATGTTTGAGCGCTACCAATTTCCGTCAAAAATATGCTTGTTTGAACCTACATGACTATGACGTCATTACTGTCCGCCATGATGGATGGTTAAAGCTGCATTACATAACATTCTCTCTCTGCCAGTCAGTATGTAAATTTAGGACGATACAAAAAATCAATTTTCTGGTCATTTTTTACGTGTGCGTTGAATCAACCCTACTCCATTGAAAAAAAATGTCATTCAGGACGTCCACGGAGAGGTACAAGAATATGACGCTTTACAAGTGTGTTTAAAGCTGGAAGCACAGCTGTCGGCCATGTTTGTTTACATTCTGTTAGTTTGTGGCGGTGTCACAAACTGAGTGCGCCTGATGTGGGTTGTTTTAGCGCCAACCATTCATGTCAGAAATGTGATATAATTGTATAAATTCGTTGAAGAGTGGAAGTACAATCACAAGATTTTTGTTGCAAAAATGTTAGTAAACATAATTCCCATTCGAACCTCGAAACTGCCCGATAAAATTGTGTTTATCATAAAATATAGTGCCAATACATGGAAAGGAAGATTTAGAGATCATATCAAAATGGTCTAATAGTTGTTTTAGGCTATAAACTGCGCTAGTATAGATTACCAGCGTGTATTACCCACTTTTGGTAAATCCCACTTTATGTGGAGTGATCCCTGCATATCCACCCTCAGGTGTTATCTTGGCTATTACGTGATTATATGCCGTACGTCTGACAGGTACGGGAACGGGAATAGCTCCTAAACCAACAGCGTAAAATGCCAGGTACGTCTGTTAATGATTGCCCAAGGCATCAGATGTCAGAGGCGAGCATTCCCGAGCTTAGTTGACATTTATCGTCTTCCGTAGACATCAGCTTTTCATACGCAAAAACACACCGTGCAAACGCTCACACACCGTCACGGCTCTAACGGTTAGGCCATGTTGATTTGATTATATGGATGTCATCCGCGCGCGCATGAATTTTCGGCCGTTTCAAAAAAAAAAAGTTTTCAACCACACTGTAAATCGTACAAAACAGTTGCAAAATGAGCAAATATATACCGTAAGTTAAAAACAAGACATTGCAAAACAATACCAATGTCGTACACAATGCGAAAACCAAACAAAAAAAGACGAAAATGTAAAGAAATGAATTTGAAGAGTAGATTATTCCCCAAACCATACTCTGTGTCATTTGTTCAGCCTTCATGACCACTTAAATTTTATAATGAAAGCAACTTTTTTTTTTGCAAAACCTTTTTTTTTATTCGCACGCTCGCATCAGTTTTGGGGTTCCCAGAGGATGTCATCCATATAATCAAATCAACATGGCCTTATTGAAAAAAAAAAACCTTGAGAATGTACGACGCTGCAAAGGACATATAGGGTACAGGTAGAAGCAACGCAAACATATCAAGAGGCATTTACAGTTCATATTAGCGATAAGAGCTCAAATATGGCTACCTGTTATGCTGAAAGCAACCCATCTAGCGTGTCAAGTGCCTATGAAGTATTGGTAAGACCATGTTGATTTGATCATATGGATGACATCATCTAGCAACCCCAAAACTGTAGTTGCGAGGTTGCGATTAAAAGGTTGGACAAAAAAAATTGCCTTTTTCATTATAAAATCTCTGTAGTCATGAAGGCTGAGCAAAAATGACTCAACACACAGAGTATGATATGGCGAATGACAAACTCTTCATTTTCATTTCTTCACATTTTTCGCGTTACTATATCGATATTTCCATGGCAGATGCTCTGCTGAACTTCACTCCCTCGTACCCCCACTCAGAACATTCTCTGCAAGAACACGCTTAGCCACCTTAACAGCAGAAAATCACCATTTCTTCCTCAATAGTCCATCAGTCAAGAGAAAATTTCATGCTGACAGTTTCTTCCCCAGAACCACTTCACTGTGGAACAAGCTTCCCCGTGAATGTTTCACCGCTAATTACAACCTCCAACGGTTTAAATCAAGGGTGAACAAATATCTGACCACGCAGTCATCACTGTAACCCAAAACATGTAAGTGGCTCTCACGAGCCTTGTTTTGAGGTGAATCTGAAGTAAATAAAAAAAAACAAGATTCGACGAAACAAAACAAGATTCCTACATTTTCTAAATTTTGACCACATAAACCTTGTTAAACAAAAATGATACCTATATATTGTGCAAAGGTGACCGCCAACTATTACAACATCCGTTTCAAAATGGTTTTGATCCAGTGGTAACATCACATATGCACAACCACCATCAAAAAGGAATAAAATGCATCACTGCATCAAATTAAAAGACAAAACATTAAAGCATAGCCTTGTCTTAACTTTTTCTCCTCTCTTCATATTTATTTATCTACCATCCACGTTTGATATGGCAATAGACATATTTGAGCATTTTCGGCATGTTGACCACGTCAGAGGGCAACAAAATCTCTTTTTTTCCCCAAAAATCAGGCAAAAATTACTTGCAGTGGCCTAAACTGTAAACAATGTTGCAACCGTAACATCTTCGATATAGTTCAAACCTTTATTTACTGTATACAGGTAGATTCTCTTAATTGATAGATCACCAACTTGTCTTGTTTACACTCATCTTTCCTTTATCCATTTTGTAATTATTTATGTATTTTGTTATTGTTTTTACTACTCTTATTTTACATGTTCTCGAGTAGAAGGATTTATACAAGCAATTGTACTTTTCCCTGATACTCGTTAAATATATGTAAATAAATATAACAAATGTTGCATTACACTAGGTCGCTCTTCTATACTATTGTTACACTCCATATTCATAGTTTATAGTTCCCCTAAAATCGGGCAAAAATTAATGCGCGCGCTGATGTCATCCATAAAATTACTTGCTGTGGCCTTAGTGTCCACTCATGCAGCACTAAAGCTCCAATCCTCCAGATGAGAAGTGGGAGCTAGAGTGAAGCAGAACAGAACATCCGCTAGGAACATTTTACTGTGATGAAAATTTTACCGCTTTTCTAGATGTTCTCGGTAACAAAATATCTTCCCAATAATACATTGAATACGCCGATCGTAAACATTCGCCATTGTTTTTTTTATTCCAACATGTAATCACCAGACGTGGTGACGACACACTCAAGTTTTTTTCAACTTATATTAATGCCGCCACCAACACAGAGGACAAATACATGACAGGACAATACTCATTTACACCTGAGCTAAGTGAGGAAAGTCGTGTAAAGTGCCTTTCCCAAGAGCACAAGATCAGGTGGCATGTCAGGACTCGAACCCGGGACTCTTAGTTCCGAGTCGCGCACTCTGCCGCTACGCCACACGACCCCACACCTTGTTGAAGCAGAGATACATGCGTGGTTTGCATTTGCAAACTGCTGAATCCATTCACCAATGTATTCTACAGAATCACTATCAAGTAATTTTTGTGAATGACATCAGCGCGCGCATTAATTCTTGCCTAATGTTAGGGGAAAATCGTTGCCCTCAACATGCAGTAAATGGACAATTATGTCATAAATGTTTATCGGTCTTTAGAGACCATCTCAGGGATCCAGCAAAATTGAGGCACAACTGGTCGCGTTTGATGCCAAGTGTTGACATTCTAAGATGTTCCATCACATGGGAATATTTTAATGCCCGGTGTATACATATATTAGCTGCCCATGATGGTACGGCAATCTCTTTTCTACAATTGTAGTTAATTGAGATGCATACACATCTACACGAAGTAATACTGTTGAATACGGGACTAAAAGACCTGTTGCTTGTGATATGTTTTGTCGCCTCAAGAATTGTTTGAAAAGATGTTTATTGTTTCTTTGCACATAAAAACAAGACAATTTGAAGCAAATGTTTAAGATTTTATGATTTCCAGCTTTATTACCTCAAAATTAAAAAATGTAGGAATCCAATTTTTTGCCCGCCTTGTTTTTGTTTTGTTTTTTTTGTTTACCGTTTCGCATCAAATCTGGAGTCTGTGGCGGATGTTATCCATAAAATGTACTTGTTGTGGCCTTAGGTAAAACCACTAAAAACCCACAGCACTGAACCATGTAACACGAACTCACGGAGTCACCCTTTCAAGGCCCCAGATGATAATAGGCATATGGTGTGTAATGACCCCCAATGGTATATAGCCAAACGAAAACACCCATATACCAGTTTATATTTCATCGCAATAAAACCGTTTTTCCACAAAATAAACAAAATGTAGAACCGGCGGAAGCATGACAAAAGCAAACCAACATAATGATGGTTTGAGCCAGGCCTATTCAGGTCGCGCGGCCGCAAGAGCTGCCATGAAATATTAAAATCCGGCGTGTTTGAATAAACCCCTGGGAATATACAAGCGCTGTTAGAAAATGGCGTCCGTATCCAGATGGTTTTTAGTGAAAGCAGTAGCGATTCGTTAAAGAGTGTCGTGAAAGACAAATTAAAACTGCAGGATTTGTTTTCTCAGTGACAAAAGAATAGCAAAATAAGCAACCATCGTGAAAACAAATATAGCAACAGATGATTCCTAATATAAAATGTACCATCTTTTATAGGAATATCGTAAATATGGTGAGCTAAGTATCATCTTACTACTCTCCAAGCAGAGGTTCAGGTTTTGGCTTATTTCTGACGTGTTTTTATCGGGGTTTCTCTTTTATACTGGTATCGTTTTGTTATCAATGGCAACTGCAAATGGATACAGCCTGGCCTATTTGATACTTGGTATTTGCAGCCACCAAAAGATCTTGGAAATCGTCGCCTTACCTGTCCCAGGTTGAGGTAGCCATATTTCCTGGCCAGCAGCTCGGCCGTGTCGGGCTTCCCGTCTCTGGTCTGCACGGCGAAGTCGTTGGTGTAGGGCGGCGCGCCGGGTTTACACTCCCCGTACCCGACCAATATGGTGGCGAGAAGCAGAAGGTGTTGTGCCCGGAGAACCACAACCCATCCTGCCGGCTTCACCATATCCTCTCCGCTCCGTTACAAAAAATACAAATCTGTGGGCCGCAGCCTCTTCTCTCTCTTTCTCTCGCCTGGATAGTTAGTTCGTTTGAGAGAGAGGAAGAATTCTTTGTAGGCACGTCTTGGATTTTTTTTCCTGTTTGTAGCTTGAAATGGGGTAGAGGGATAGTGCTGCTGTAACGTCAGGTGGAAGCAGAATGTGCGCCTGCTCGTCGTATCATTATTGGGCGTCAGCGGAAGTGCGTAGGCTGGTGATGTGGGCCGGGAAACATCAGTAAGATGGGCGCGCGTGGTTTTATATATAAAGGCGCCGCCGGGTTCTTTTACGTCATGCGATGTTGATTGCTTGTTTGTAGGATTTTTCAGCGAGGCTCTGGTATAACTAGCTGTTGGATAAAGATTGTTTTGTTACAAGAACGCCTGTCCCAAAGAATTTGTTGTCGTATACTTGCCATACGATTATGGATTATTGTTAGTACGGTATACATTACGATTGACCAATATATTACGATGCAGGTGACCAACTCATAAAGCCCTACACATTACACACGTTCTCTCTCTGTCTCTCTGTCCGTGTCTCTCTCTCTCTCTGTCTCTCTCTCCCTCTCACACACAAACGCACTCACACACACACACCACACAAACACACACACGCAAAACACACATACACATACTCACAAACACACACACACTCACTCACACACACAGACACACTGTTTTTTATGACGTATGTACATGTAATATTTCTTTATTAGACCTATCCATTGCACAATGGAGGGGAGACACAAAACAGGCAATTGCTCGCCTCTGCTTGTTGTCTCCCCTGCAGCATATAAGATATATGAAGATGTATGAATAACCAATAACAGAAAAAAACTGTACGAATTAGTAACTAGAGAAATAAATTAGTAAACTATAACTATGGAGTGTAACAATAGTGTAGAAGAGTGACCTAGTGTAACGCAACATTTGTTTTATTCATTTACATATATTTAACGAGTATCAGGGAAAAGTACAATTGCTTGTATAAATCCTTCTACTCGAGAACATATAAAATAGTAGTAAAAACAATAACAAAATACATAAATAATTGCAAAATGGATAAAGGAAAGATGAGTGTAAACAAGACAAGTTCGGTGATTTATCAATTACGAGAATCTACCTGTATACAGTAAATAAAGGTTTGAATATAACATATATTACAGTTGCAACATTGTTTACAATTTACAAAAAATTATTCTTGGAAAATGAATCTTCAAGTATCAGAACACTAAAGAAGACTATACTTAGGCCCTATATATACTTAGGCTATACACACTGAGGCCCCATTCCCACTAATATAAACTTGTCCGGATCGAGCCGAATTGATTCGCTTTGATTCGGCTTCGAGCCAGACCGAGCCGGATCGAAGCCGAATCGAAGCAGGGTCAATGCGTATCGATTCGGCTCGATCCGGATAATTTCATCCTAGGGCCACACCAATTTAATTTCTTGGTTGAAGGATTTTTCTAGAAAAATAATGCAGCGGGCGGGCGAAAAAAAATTAAAATAAAAATAGGCCTAGGCATCCTATTATGGCCCAAAATGGTATGATAGGAGCCATGAAGTCAACACACCAGGCTGATTCAAAATTTAAACAATGAATTTTGAACTTTTAATGATGCCATTGCATTGAAAGATGGAATAACTGTAACAACTAGGATGAAAAGGACTGTTTTCAACTGTTCAGAGCAAAATATGAGCATTTTGCAGTTGATTCTGAATTTTTAGTTTTATTTGCAAATCAGAAAAAAACGAAGCGGGCGAATCCGTTAACCAAGAAATTACATTGGTGTGGCCTAGTGGGAATGGGGCCTGAATGGTCTGGGGCCATGGCGTAAAGCTTTCACGGAGATGACGTCAGGAGGTGACGTTAACACAGAGCAAGTATTTGCTGAGTTCAAAGAGAGCTTCATGACCACCTGGTTTACAAAAACGCCCAGCTGAAATATTTATTCTAATCGCTATTGCCATTTTCTATATATTGCATGGCTAGTAAGGCCATGTTGATCTGATTACATGGATGGCATCCGCACGCGCGTGAATTTTCGTCCGTTTCCAAAAAAAATCGACCATCGTTCATTTCATCATATCAGCTGCAAAATTAGCAAATATGTGCCGTAAATTGTGAAAAAAAAATATTAGAAAAAGATAGTAATGCCAAAGAATGACAAAATCTGTTCCGGAGGAAAAGACAAAAATGTGAAGAAATGAAAATTAAGAGTCTATTATTTGCCATACCATATTCTGTGTGTTTAGTCATTTGTTCAACCTTCATGATCACATAGATTTTTAACCTCCAAGCAGATCCCTCTCGGTGGCAAAAAGACAGTATCAAATTGGCCAGGCAGTATCCATTAGCCAGAGAAGGTCCGCGGCCACCGACAGGACATAAAAATGTAATGATCATTCCCCCACAACCTCTGCTTGGAGAGTAATAGATTTCATAATGAAGACAACATTGTGGGGGCCAAACGTTTTTTATTCGCACGCTCGCATCAGTTTTGGGCGAGGATGCCATCCATATAATCATACCAACATGACCTTAGATATGGCAGCATGAATTAAATGGTCGGGCAGATAGACACGGCCCAGCATAGAGAGTATTGAATGGAATTTTCTCCTAAAACGTCAAAAGAATGACAAAAATCAAGTTTTCACGTTTCATTCCTATAGTAGTATAAAAGAGACTTCACAAAATGCCTTTAAAACGAAAGCCATATGCTCACTTTCAACGTACATCACATATACTAGAGCCTATATAACATGTCGCCATTCAGAAAATTCAAATTACTTCAGAGCCTACATCGCGGGTGTGTTCTACTGAAATTTACATAAATGTCGTTATTTTCTGGGAGAAAATGGGGCATCATGTACAGCCGCGTGCGTGGGCGACCCTGAGTGGGCTTTCAGCCGAAAGCCATATGCTCACTTTCAACGTACATCCCATATACTAGAGCCTTACATGTCGCCATTCAGAAAATTCAAATTACTTCAGAGCCTACATCGCGGGTGTGTTCTACTCAAATTTACATAAATGACGTTATTTTCTGGGAGAAAATGGGGCATCATGTACAGCCGCGTGCGTGGGCGACCCTGAGTGGGCTTTCAGGCAGTAAGCTTGTCCATTCACGGGCTGTATCAAAACCCACCGCGGGGGCATCTCACTCAATACGGCCGTGTGGATTTCATTATGTGGATGACATCTTCTGGGAGCCCCAAAACTGATGCGCGCGTGCGAATAAAAACAGTATTGCAAAAACGGTTTATTTTCAGCTGCTCTGTACAATTTTTTGGAAGTTGACGAAAAAACAATGCGCGCGCGGATGTCACCCGTATACTAATCGAATCAATATGGCCTAATGTTTCATCGAAAGCAGTAATCGTCTATCTTAGTAAAAGCATCCAATGCCATTTCAGTGTGGTAAAATAAAAAAGAATATCATGAATGAGAAAGTACATCAGCCATTGACATTTTTGTCATCATTTCGTCGTTTGAAATAGCCTCAAAACCCTTTATTTTTTGTTGCCACCAATAAATGGCTAGAGTCAGCCTACGACACAAAACAAGGAACCGTTTTCTGTCAGCTACATTGCATTTTTGACTCACAGATGTCAGTATACACAAGTGAATCGAAAACTCTCTCTTCAAGTTGTTTGATGACATGTAGCTATATGGCACTGCCAAATCAACATAGGCAGACTACCCTGTCGTTGTGAACAGCTAGATAAACTCATTATCTACCTTCTGTGCTTGCAATGAGATGTTGTTGTGATGAGCGTTAAAAGCTGGCGACACAGACGACGCCGTGAAAGCTGGAGCGGTAATTGGTAGGGCAGGCTGCCGTGATGTGTTACAGGATTACCGGGTTATCAGGGGACCAGGAGTGACGTACGAGACATCTGATGAACCGCATTAGGCCACAGCATAGCTCTTTCTTACACAAGGCAATATGCCTGTACAACGAGTCTTTGCAGTAAATGACTTTCAAGACTCTCTGGACTTTCCTTCAGTGCCCATGTGTGGCTTTGTAATGTGTTTGTTTGCGTGTCTGTATATGTATTGTAATGTTAATTCGTGTTTGTATTTACTATGGACAAAATTGTAAAAAAAAAATCAGTGTTATTCAGCTTGGTTGTGCACTGGCTGCAAGGCTTGATTTTATTAATGAAACTTGAAACTTAAACACAGCATGTAAATTTCATGGATGACATCCAAATCTAACGCGATAGGGCCAAAACAAAACAAGACGGGCAAAAAAAACAAGATTCCTACATTTTCAAACGTTTACATCTTAAACCTTGTTAAACAAGAAATGATACCTATATCGGCTACGTATACTGCCGACTATTACAATATCTATTGTAAGTAAAAAATAAAAGTTTTCCATAATTGTACAAATAGTTGATTCATTGGGAACATCATATATAAAAGGAATTAAATACATCACTGCATCAAAATGAAAGACAAAACAAAACAAATCAGAGCCCTGCCTCCATAGTTATCTCCCATCCACCTTCCGGCATGGCAACAGACATCTTTGCCCATTTTCGGCATCTTGACCACTGTCAGAGAGCAATAGATTTTCTTGTTTTTTTTTTTTCAAAATCGGGCGAAAATTAATGCGCGCGCTAATGTTATCCATAAAAATTACTTGCTGTGGCCTTACAGCGGAATGACGTGGGTGTAGTGGCGGCGAACAGAAGATGGTTTTCGAAGGCCTAGAAAAACAGACATTCAGTACCGTGGACAGGACCAGTAAGACGTGATCCTCAGTACACCAGACACTCAGTACCGTGGACAGGACCAGTAAGACGTGATCCTCATCAGTACACCAGACATTCAGTACCGTTGACAGGACCAGTAAGACATGTGATCCTCGGTACACCAGACATTCAGTACCGTGGACAGGACCAGTAAGACGTGATCCTCAGTACACCAGACATTCAGTACCGTGGACAGGACCAGTAAGACGTCATCCTCAGTACACCAGACATTCAGTACCGTGGACAGGACTAGTAAGACGTGATCCTCAGTACACCAGACATTCAGTACCGTGGACAGGACCAGTAAGACGTGATCCTCGGTACACCAGACATTCAGTACCGTGGACAGGACCAGTAAGACGTGATCCTCGGTACACCAGACAGTCAGTACCGTGGACAGGACCAGTAAGACGTGATCCTCATCAGTACACCTGACATTCAGTACCGTGGACAGGACCAGTAAGACGTGATCCTCGGTACACCATTCACTACCGTGGAAATTTTAATGTGGCGCCTTTTTGTTGGTGTATATGGTGATAAGGCCAGTCTGTTGATATAACCGTCTCAAAACCTTCATATTTACTTTGCACAGTCAGTAGTTTATTCCGTGGTCATAGGAACCAATCTGGCCTTTCCGCACCACATACAGTATAAATGGTAATCTAAGGGTAATAAAGGGTCGTTGAAAAGCTAGCTGCTGAATATAGAAATCTGTTTTAATCTCATTGACAACATTGCAGGACGGACAACATGATTTCAGTGGGGTAAAACAACCAACCTTTTCCCCAGGACGGAATAATATACATTCAGAAAACAGATCACACCATCAAACGTTACATTCTGTGTTGGCAGCAGTCAACAAAAGTCATTTGCTCCAGCTACGAACACGACACTATAGTTAACATGGTTCTTTGCACACAACCAAAGACATACCTATGCAACGTTTCGGTAACAATTACCTTCCTAGGTGCAGTACTACTTCTCACTGCTAGGTGGTGCTGCAGTGGGAAGGATGCTGTCCCAAACGTGACTGAGTCTGTATCCCCCCTTAGCACGGTTTCTGACCAGAGCAGATTTTCTGATTCATACAGCAACAAGCAAAACCAGTCAGTATTGCCCTAAGGCCACACCAATTTAATTTGTTGGTTCTCAGATTCGCCTCTTCGTTTTTTTCCGATTTGCAAAAAAAAAAAAATAATGATTCTGGTTCCTGAATCAACTGAAAAATGCTCATGTTTTGCCCTCAACAGTTGAGGAAAGTCCTTTTCTTCCTAGTTGTTACAGTTTTCCCATCTATCATTGCAATAATTTGATTAAAAGCTCAAAATTCAATGTTTAAATTTTAACCCAGCCTTTTGTGTTGACTTCATGGCTAATTTCGTAGCATTTAAGCCTATAATAGGATGCCTAGACCTGTTTTTATTTTTATTTTTTTCGCCCTGTCGCTTCATATTTTTTCTGAAAAAATCCGAGAACCAACAAATTGAATTGGTGTGGCCTAAGGAAGGTGACACCAATACATCGGCTAAGTACTATTCATAACTCTTTGGCTGTGTAGAAAGAGTTTTGTTAACCATTAATTTACCAACCTGATAAAAGTACTGTAATGTTGACATACGCGTTGTATATAATTTTCATTATACATATACATATATACACCAACACAATTCACTAACATATACATCTGATGGTCTGAAGACCAGAGACACTAAAACACATTAAATCAGAGCTAATATGTCATCAATTGACTTATCCAAAATGCAGATACATGTACTACCACATCCATGATAGTGATAAACAGTGCAAATTTGTGCAAGCTATACTGATCAAATCACTGTGCATATTTCCAAGTACCAACCATCATTACCAGCAACGCATGTACAAAAATGATTGTGAAATTTCCATGTAAACAAAGGTAGTGTCAAAATATGCAGTTCCAATCATTTAATACAAACCAGTCATGCTAAACTTCTGTTTATCACTTCAGCAAAGTATAATGTACCAACTTGTGTGGTTTTAAGTGTTATGATGTGAGCTCTTGTATCATATTTCTAGCCAAGATTATGGAAACCATGCTAGCAGATAAGCAAAATGTACATGTTGTACATTAATTTTTTTTTTTGAAAACTCAAGTCCCGCATGCACATTGTGGCATATACTCATTATCAAACACAGTGGTTGCAGGACATTAACAATTCACATCCAATAAAACACATGGATACCCAATAATACACATATACATGGAGAGCAGCAGTTAGGGCACAACTGAACATACACTACAAGTCACCAGTAAATCAACATTCAGATGATTAAAAAAAAAACAATTTTGTTTTAATTTATCATGAAGCACAGTACCGTTCTTTCTCAACCACAGATAAATGTTACAGCCAATATTTTAGGCCGCACCAAATTTCTTGGTTCTTGGATGCTGGGTGTACGTATATGGTGTCATAAGGCCAGTTTAAACCACTATATACATGTACACCTCAGGGCAGGCCATTAACCCTTTTTTATTATGGTTGGATCTCATCCAGAACTGTAAGGTATTGGTGGCATTAGCACTGTGAATGGTGATTGATTTAATTTCAAATTTCCTTTCAGTCAGTCCCAAAATGAGACAAAACTCAGGCATTTGCGTAATTTTTCTTCATCTTGCAGAAGAAATAATTTGGCTTGTTTGGTCCTTGTTTGAACTTTTCCAATTCCAAATTTGACAATTCCAATTTGGACCATTTTGTACCAGGTTGATCACCTCAGCTCAGCCCAAAAAACACAACATGTCACCAGGATATGCATACAGTCAACATATTTTTCAAACTGCTGCATACAATGCATAATAATCTGCTCCTTTCAAGATGCCAATTCCCCTTTTCCTCATAATTGTTTTGTACATGTGCAGTAGTGCAGTCAGTGAACAATAGAAAGCTCCAAAAAGGGTCTACATGGGGGATTCTAGCAACACATTTTTAGTCTAGGCGATCGGTGCAAAATATGGGTAGAATTGCTGAGTTTGTGATAAAAGCATGAGACTTGGTATGCTGAAGCATGAATACCTAATTAACATTTTCAGGGGTGGAGCCATTGCAAAAAGTGTGTTACTTAGCAACATTATTTCAACCACATCCATTTGATTTGTTGGTTCTCTGACTTTTTCAGAAAAAATATGAAGAGACAGAGCAAAAAAAAATAATGAAAACAGGCATAGGCATACTATGATAGCCCTAAATGCTATGATAGGAGCCGTGAAGTCAACATACCAGCCTGGTTTGTTACATGTGTTAGATACATGTAAAAACTGTAACAACTCTGAAGAGAAGGGACTTCCTTCAACTGTTGGGGCCAAAATATGAGCATTTTGGAGTTGATCCAGAGCCTGAAATGTTGCTTTTTTTGGCAAATCAGAACAAAAATGAAGTGGACAAATCTGTGAACCAACAAATTAAATTGGTGTGGCCTTAGGTGAACTGTTCTGCAAACACATCTGCCTGTTGAATAATGAATGATATTCGCATATTTTTTTATGGCAACAATGAATAAAAAGGCTGCAAAATTCACTGATTATGATTATGAATTCCAGAAAAGGGCATGCTGAGGTGCTATGGCTATTTAAACAGAAAACAAGACCAACTACATGAAAGATGCATTATGTAACATTCTGCACCAAAAATTGATTCAACTGAAAAAAAATCTTAATGTGATTGTCATTTGCTTCCACTTTTCCAAACATTTGTGGTATTATTTCACATTTCTGACATTTATGGTTGGGAATAAAACAGCCCACATGAGGCACCACCACAAACTACCAGAATGTAAACAGACATCAGCTGTGACAGCTGCAGGGCTTGAAATTAAAGGTGGTCCAGTGGCCACTGACCACTAGAATTTAGGCTAAGACAACTAAAAAGACACTATGGGACATTTTTTGGACAATAGAAAAATAAGCAACATCAGAATTTCAGCCCTCCTTTTGTTTATCAGGCACACATCCTAGTTTTTGGATCCGGAAAAGTCCCCCTGAATTTCCTGTGCCTACACTGCAATTATTATAGTACGCCTGGGAGTGAACATAAGCAAAATAAAATTGCCTTCAAGTTGAAGTCATACCCAAAAAATAGGTTGGGACAATTGAAATGTATTTTTGGGACAGTGCTGGGACAATAGTAAGAAAAGTTAATTTTGAGGCCTGCAGCTGTGTTTTCAGCTTTTGAACACACTTGTATGGTGTAATATTTTGGCACCTCCACTACCTGAATGACACTTACTTGCAATGCAATAGGGCTGTTTCAACTCAAATTGTATTAAGAGAGAATTGTGATTGTCATTTTTTTTGTATCGTCATAATGTTACATAATGCAACTTTAAGGAGAAAACAAGACCAGCTACTGTAACAGTATTTCATCCTCAGCTCCTCTCCAGTATAAAATGTTCACACAGAAGCCTCATCTGTTAGCCACACTCCCCTCTGCCAGGTTGATGGTATGTACCAGCTGAGCGTGTTCAGCCAATAGCTGAGCCAGTTCTGCACGTCTACGAGCCGCCTCCGCCTGAAAACGGGGAAAGTAAAAAAGTGATCTAGAGCCAGTTTTAGCTCACTGAAGAGCTAATCTCCCACTGGTCGTAACAGAGAAGATGGACGCTATATGTACAGTATTTACAGGTTCATTGTACCAGGGAAATTCCCCTAGCTCTTTTTGACAAGCACAATGAACAGTGCACCATAGTTTAATGTCCTGTCCCAAGGACTGCGACCCTTACCAGTAGCGTGCATGTCGGGTGAGCAATGTTACAGCCGGGATTCAAACTCCCAACCTCTTAGTCCAGAGGCAGGGTTGCTAACCACTAGACTACGCATCATCTTATACATTCATCACATTTTTACAATGTACTATGATTAATATTTGTAAGTTCAATGGAGAAGGGCATCGTATAAGCCTGTTGGATTCTCCCATCCTCCTGCACTTTTCTAAAATATTTTTCTTTCCTCACTGTTGTTTGGTATGACTGTGCAAATGAGTAAAGAAAACAAAGCAAACAAAGAAGAGATGACACAAAGGCTCCCATAGACTGGAGCCTGGCTGGTTAACCTTTCAAACAATAAATTTGTAACTCTTTGATAAATGGAAAACCTATTAAAGAAGACATTAGGGAGGAAATAAGGGAGTTGTCATTTGGATTTATCAGCTGTAAAATGGTAGGAGACATGTTGGTGCATGTGCATTTTTTTAGAGTTAACAAACTCAAGAACACAGACAGTAAATTGGTGTTGTTGTTTTTTAAGCCTAATAGTTACATTAAATTTAGTACTTGTCTAGTCTGTACTACCACATGTATCTCTGATCAAAGGCATCTAATGCAATTTCAGGGCAGCAAAACAAGAAGTATTCTGGATGAGGGAATGTAATGAAATCAGTATGATATGGGGTAGGACTGATTCAACTTACTACATTATAAGAGTTTCCAGAAAATTGACTTTAAAAATCCAGCTTTGCTGCCCTATCTATGTAATTGCATTGGATGCCTTCAAGATAGGTGATTAGAGAGTGGTAATCACGTCTTCAATGGTTCTAGTGAGAAGCCAGTAATTTTGTTTAGTAGCCATTGGACATGAGATGTTTCAAAGTACATGTACATTGTACATCTTTCAGCTTCTCATCCTTTTCCAAGTAGCCTTTTACATTCACCTCCATATGTGCCTCCAGTTAATTTCCTACTTGAACCTACTCTCATCTGCCGAATAAACGTACCGGTACGTTTATTTTTTTTTGGCCCGAACGTCCACCCGGTACGTCTTATTTTGCACGGTACGTTTATTAATTTTTGGAAAATCAGTAATTTTTTTTTGAGTACGCATGAAAAAAAAAGACAAATCTTCGACTTGAAGACGTTTATAAACGCGTATTGTAGCGGGGAACTTGTCATTTTTGGGCCTGTTTTCGCCGCATTGAGCATAATTTGTGGCCAGTCGCCAGGATGGCCTCTCAGGTTCCACCCGGTACGTTCTATTTTGGACGGCACGTTTACTAAAAATTTTCAAAATCAGGATATTTGTAACAACATATTACCTCCCTTTTAGATGTAAATCATATTTAGGAACATGTATTGTGTCGGAAATATGAGCTATGACGGACGTTATAATATAACTATGTTTAATAACTGTTATAGCAAAAAAACAATCGGCAGAAATCGCAACATTTTTCACGTACCTCGCACACACAGCTCACTCAAAATTATTTTTTTCTAAGGAATATGTTAAAATAATTCCACATAACAAAGAATTCTAGCAATTACAAACTGTAATACTCTCAAAAGGTCGAAAATCCTACCACAGACATGAAAATCTAGCGCAGGAAAAATATCCATTCTGAAACAAACAAGAAGTTTCCCACGAGGGGGAGAGCCCAGTTCGAGTAGGGGGAAACAATTATTTACAATTATAGATAAAACTCTTTGTCAAAAATATGCATATACAAGTTACATTTTAACAAAGCTAATCACTATGTTAAAGAGGACAAACAGGAGTATGATTGCATTCTAACGTATCAACTATTACAAAGAAATATTTTGAAGAAAATGTTACCCCCTGCAAAAAATGGACTCAGCATTCTAAGAACAGCCTTCCAAACTTGAAGCCCTGCCCCTACTCATTTGCATACCTCACAGTGGGCAGATCAAAGGCAGGGCAAATGTAACGTAAGACCCTTGACTGAGGGGGTTGTGTGTTACAATGTTGCCATTTGTTTGATCTACATGTATGATTATGATGTAGCATTGATCATTACTTTTTATGAAAGTGTATAAATTTAAATTAAATAAAGGGAAGTGTGCAATGCATAAATGGAGATTTGAGAAATAATTATATTTGAATAAAAAATATTTATAGATAACTTTCAATTATTTTGCCAGTGGCTTTTACATACTAGTATTACAATTTGTATAGAGCATATGTTCAGCATATTGTAAATTTCTGGTCAACTTCAATAACGAAGATTTTCGGGAGAGGCATAAAAAACCCCTGATTTTCCCGGGGGTACTTTTATTCCAGGTCACAGTATGTTATTGTATTTCCCAACAACATGTGCACATTTGCACTAGAAATGCTCTCTTTGTTGTCCATTTAAATTCCTACTTGCAAATAAAGATTTGTGCATATTATTAGTAAGGGCACATTTTAGTAGAAGAGACTGTCTATTTTGGTAATTTTCCGGGGGGTACGTTTATTCCGAGGGGTATGTTTATTAGATTTTGAAGATTTGTCCGGGGGGTACGTTTATTCCGAGGGGTATGTTTATTCGGCAGATGAGAGTAATGCAGTCATACATTGTGAACATGCAAACCTCCCTTCAGCGGGCAATTTCTGTTGTCAGCTTATTAGTTAGGAGTACAACTTTCACCTTAGTGACATGTAGCTTTTACAATCCAATAAAATATATTGTTGCCGCATGGCATAAGCCAGGTATTTTTTTGTTGCCACTGAGGTATGACCATAGGCCATGTTGGTTTGATTATATGAATTTTTGTCCGTTTCAAAAAAATAAAAAAGATTTCGATTATGGTATAAATTGTACAAAGCCGCTACAAAATGAGATAATACATGCTGTAATTTGCAAAGAAAAGAAAAACAATGCTAATGCTGTAGAATGCCAAAATCAATTCCAAAGGAAAACAAGAAAATGTTAATTAAGAAATGAAAATTATTTGTCATACCATACTCTGTATATATTGTTTAGTCATTTGCTCAGCCTTCATAATGAGCATGTATCTTCTTTTTTTTTGCCAAACTTTTTTATTTGCATCAGTTTTGGGGTTCCCAGAGGATGACATCCATATAATCAAATCAACATGGCCTTATATAAAGGTATCATCTGGCCAACCAACCATACCAACCAATAATTGCTTTTCTTTAACAGCCAGTGTTTTCAGAGCCACTTTGACTGTACCTGGTACTTACTCACCTAAGATATATGTCTGTCACAGTAAATGTTGAATAATACTTAAGACTGTTGGTTGCAAATTCTATGGAAGATACATGTAACCTTGTACATGCATGATCATGAGGTGCATCTGGCATTGTTAAAAGATTCAGTGATAATCGTGCTGTAACGTGCCTGTATGGTACCAGTTAGTTGACATGCTGATTGCATGCATGCTGAATCAGTCATTACGTGTAGTTACGTGTGATTGCTGAAAATTGGTGCAATTTTGAATTCACAGATCAGCATGCAGTTAGTACGGCAGGTTCTGCAATTTAAGGGTGCTTTAATTGAAGGTTGGTACACTGTATACCTCTCATTCCAGTCCATATCGTGGCAAAAATTGTCTTTGATCTAAAGATTGTTTGAGTAGCAACTCAAATTTCAGAGCTATAAGAAGACATTTATGATGTAGACAATGTTGCATTAGCTTTGAATTTAAAGACATGTTTTCTTTGCTTCTATTCACTGTAAAAGAATACATTTTTTCCTGAGACTGGTGAAAATGTACCAACATTCAAGATAACGTGCAGCTGTGGCAGTTCCATGCAATGTAGCCGGTCTAACTGTTACCATTTGGGTTGCAGAAAAACCAGGATCCATGTGGGGTGGGGTGTCGTCGGCTGTTTTGGTCACCCACGGAAAGGAAGAAGAGTTAGCTAAATCAACAAGCAGAGCAAGAAATAATAATAGATAAAGCAGGAGGCTTCCACCAATAAGCTTCATATAAAAAAAATCTGTTCTTGTGATTTAAAATGTGCATTTAAAAGGGGCATTTCAGTGCTTGAAATACTTTTTTTGCATATCTGTACACTGGTGCAGGCAAAATGCAAAAATTACCTGCACCAGACAGGTTTTACCTGACAGTGTATAGATTCAATGTCTTTCTGAATCAGTTCATCCAAAAATTTTGATGTTTCAAAAATCTGTTTCTAGCACGTTGCTGCAACATTTTCGATACCTAAGTTCTCTGCTGACTTCACTGATGTAACTTTGAAGAATGTAAAGTAGTTTTGACCACCACACACCATTCAATAAATGTACATTGTATTGTCTTAATTGTGTCTGGGGCTGGTTTTGTATATAAAAAATAAAAAACACCAAAAAGTTAAAAGGAATTGAAACCTTAGAATGCTTGAAGGCTGCAGAATATTGAAGAGAATGAAGAGAAAGTAATGAAGAGAATTGACTCACCAGATTGTCTTGCTTCTTCCGGTGCCTTCTCCACGTGAATGTCTATGACAACGTTAAGGCCAGGAGTGCTGTCATCCTCTTTTTCATTCTCTTCTTCATTCATTCCACAGTCCCCCTGGCCCTGATTGTCGGCTGCACATTCCCAGTTGTCATGGATGGGGATCTCCCGTTCAGGTTTCGCGTCACCATTTGGCACACTTTCTCCTGAGTTTGTGTTCTCCCCCACCTGGTCGGTGGTTTGTTTCCCAGTGTCTGTTTCACAAGGCGCGGTGTCCTTAGACTCTTCTTTTCCATTTCCCTGTGCGGCTGCTTCTGAGGGTTCACTGGTCCCCTCGGGAATGACCGAGGGGAGGGAGACGACCACATCTTCTGTCATGGCAGCGCCACTCTCGTTTATAGCTGCTGTCAGGGTTGGAACATGAAAGGAATTTAAACCCTTAGGCCACAGCAAGTAAATTTTATGGATGACATCCTCCGCAGACTCCAAATCTAATGCGAGCCGGCAAAAAAAAACAAGGCGGGCCGAAGAAACAAGGTTCCTTCATTCTCAAATTTTGACTCAATAATTGTACAAATGGTTTTGATTCAGTGAGAACATCACAATCACATAATACACAGCCAGTATCACATATCACTGCATCAAAGTAAAAAACAAAACGTTGAATCAGAGTCTTCTCTTGTCTCCTGTCTTCATAGTTATCTGCCATTCACCTTCCGGTATGGCAACAGACATATCCGGCATGTTAACCACTGTCAGAGGGCAACAAAATTTCTTCTTTTTTTCCCAAAATCAGGCGAAAATCAATGCACATGCTGATGTCATCCATAAAAATTACTTGCTGTGGCCGTAAGGTCCTCACAGGCTGTCATTTTCAAAATACGTAAAATTATGTATAATGGTGGAAAGGTTATGTATGATTCAATGGAAAATCATTACCTACAATTACATACAATTAAAGATAATTATAGGCAAGTATGATTATGTATAATTGGACTACACTCTTGCTGAGGGACCAATTAATGCTTACCACATATTTATCAACCTCTGCTATGTACAAAATATTGAAATACTTTAAATAGTGGCCTGTTAAGAAGAGTTTGTATACTTCAGTTGGAAATACTTTTTTTTTTCCTGTTTAGGTCACACCAATTTAATTTGTTGGTTTTCGGATTCGCCTCTTCCTTTTTTTCTGATTTACAAAAAAAAAAGATTCTGGTTCTGAATCAACCCAAAAAAGCTCATATTTATTTGCCCCAAACAATTGAGGAAAGTCCTTTTCTTCCTAGATGTTACAGTTTTTCCTTCTATCAATGCAGTGGTTTGATTTGAAGTTCAAAATTCATGGTTTCAATTTTAACCCAGCCTTTTGTGTTGACTTCATGGCTCCTATCAAAGCATTTGGGGCTATAATAAGATGCCTAGACCAGTTTTTCTTTTTATTTTTTTTCACTCTCAGACTGTTGCTTCATATTTTTTTCCGAAAAAATCTGAGAACCAACAAATTAAATTGGTGTGGCCTTATTTCTACTTTCTGCTGAACACTAACCTGGGTCCAGCTGTGGTTCTGGTCCCTCTAGAAGTTGACTCACTGGAGTGTTTGTCTGTGGAAAGATGAAGCTCTTCACTCATGTATGCATGATAAGATTGAAACTCATTCACGTCATGTATATTGTGTAGTCACTCTACAAAATGTATATGATCCTAAACACACATACACAATTGTATTATGTATCATACATTGTAGTTGAATCATGATTACTAGTCTTAAATCATAACTGGTTTGTCATCTGTAACAGAATTTATGATAGTGGTACATGTATGATACTAGAAATCTTGTCCTTAAAAGGTACTTAGGAAAGTCCTGACGGTTAACAATTAAACTGCACCACACAATTTCTTCTCTCTTCTTCTTCATTAATTTTTGATTTGAATTTTAGCCCTGATTTTCAAGATCAAGTCTCTCCCTACAAGTGCATGAACATGTGCATGATGTATGTTATATAAATACAGATATTATAAAAAAGACTTATTGCAAATGGACCTAAGGCTAAGTATTCATCAGGCTAAGGTGGGACTTGATTTTAAAATTACAACATAATAGAAGATACCAGGGTACGAAAATATAATTTAAAAGACCACAAAACACACAAAACATAATTTAAAAATTGTTTCTATATCTACGAAGTTGTCGAGTTATCTGTCAACAATTTGAAGAAAAACATTATGATATCATTTTTGCTCAGTTTCTTCCTGTTCTTCTTCTTCTCCAAACAAATAAAAGTCAATGACCTGGACCAGACCTCTATCACCATGGTAACTGGTGCTGTAGCAGACAGTGCAAATGTTACCTTTCTTGATGAATTTATCTATTGCCAATTGGACGGAGTGTATAAAATCCTGATAAGCATGCACATGTGAGGTGAGGCAGCTGTACCTTCCTGCCGTCCAGGATGCCCCCTGAGCCCCTCCTGCCCATGTGCCTGTGCAGGAAGCTGGTGCCTGTACCGTTGGCACTTCCCGGTGCAGGTCCAGGCAGCCCAGAGCCAGGCAGACCTGGGATCCACTTGTTGGTACCCTGGAGGGTCCCCGGATTGTCATGAGGAGGCGAGGAGGATGCTGCATGGGGAGGTCAAATACAAATATGCCGTCACCAGGGGGAAAACACAAAACTTTCAATCAGCTTCTGCTTCAGAAAAGTTCTTATAAAAAATTTAAGCCCCACTCATCACATACAGCATACAATATACCTATTAATATATGTAACAGCCTTCAGTTTAATTCTGGACTTCCAGATTAATTCCGGACTAATTCCCATATCTCAGCAACCGTACATCTAGATGGGCTAATATCGTAAATTATAGATAAAAATGATGTAAGAAATATGTAGCAGCCATCGAGGACCCCTTGGGGATTAACTCAATTCTGGAGAATTCTCCAGAACTCTGGAACTGCAGCCAGAATTCTGGAGAATTCTGGGAAGTAGAGCCAGAATTCTATGCAGAATTTTACAAAATTGGATTAATCTCCAAGTTAACCCTCGATAGCTGCTAAGTCTAGTACATATTTCTTCTTCTATTACTTTTAGTTATAGTTTACGATATTAGCCCATTTCCATGTAAGGTTGCTGAGATATTGAATTAGTCTGGAATTAAACTGGAGGCTGTTATATATACAATACAGTCATGTATTATTTTTTTACCATGATAATATTGCTGTACCTTGTACGTCTTGTAAGAAATGGATGCAATTTTAAAAAATGGTTTGATTCTTGAAAGAATGATAATCAATTAAAAATAAAAGGCAACAGGATACTAAATTTAATGATAAAACTTTTGTTATATGTCTTTTTATCTACTTGTTCCAATAAAAAATGTTAACCTGTATCTTGTATGTGACTGGGGCTTAATACAAAGCAAAATGATGTCACATAGTCTCTGATTAAAGTTGGCAAAGTATAGTACCAGAAATAGCAAAATACAGCAAAATACCCGTCATGGCTTGTGTATTTTTCTGTACTTTGGGCTATTTCCCTATTAAGCCAAGCAGTGTGATATGTGCTATTTATATCATACCCGGGCCGCGATAACGTTCGATAACGGGTTCCGGACCGGGCCCTACTTTACGGTACGGCCCGGTCCGGAACCCGTTATTGAACGCTTCCCTGGCTTCCATAAAACGATTCGAACGCGTTTTGCCCTAACCGCGTGTGCTCCTTTCAAAAATTTGAATACAGAATCCGGACGTTGGAATTGATGTTGTTGCAGTTTAGGGTTTAGTGGCACCAACTTTTGGCTCATCTTGCATTGAAAGGAGTGTTTTCTTGGGTGGGTATGACATAAATAAAATACAACACGGTGTATTCCGCATCGCCCTCGGCCCCGGCCCTCCCGCGAGTCGGATCGCCCTCCAGCCTGCGGCCGTCGGGTGATCCGACCCACAGTCGGGCCGATACCTCGGGCGATACTGAATACCCCGTGTTGTATTCTATATGTACGTAGCCACTGGAACTAATTCCTGTGAAACCAAACATCTTGGCAAATTAAGCAGATCTGATTGGAAAGCTATAATGTCTTGACAAGCTCCAAGATAAACAGAAGCCATAATTACTGATGCTGCTGCATTACTAATAATCAAAAATGAAATGATTAAATTAGTAACATGACTCAGTTCAGTTTTTGCTAATCATTTCATTTTAATTATTGCTTGCAATGTGCAGCCGCATAATATTACGTTCTGACATTGCTGCCTCAAGCTATTATGATTTAAAGTGCTTGTGACACAAATTACACAAAAACACAGGAAGGTACGACACCAATAACATAAAAAAACAGGAAGGTACAACACCAGTAACACAAAAATACACTCACTGTAAGAAAAATGTCCAGAACAAGCTGCTAGGTGGGCCCAAACTAAATAATCCAACTAAACCTTCAAATTTGATTTTAAATTTTTATTGTGCTGACAGAGACACAAGCCCATATGAAAAATGCTTCTGAATTATTCAATCTTCTCTTCGTAAAATATTTCGTTCTGGAGTCATTGGTGTCACAAGTACTTTAAGGCTGAGCCAAGGTGGCAAAGACTACACTGTACTACATGTAGTACATAGAATAGCATGACAATAATAGGACTAGTACTCAAGGGACTATCAACCATCTAAAAAGTGCTACTCGCACAACATACATTATTCTGAACACTAAAAAAATATTTTGTAAGAATAGCAAAATTGTTAATAATAATAATAAATCTAATGAGTGTTAATCAAGACTAAAGTTTAACGTTTGTCTAACATGGTTAATGATCTGATTTGCTAAGTCCATCTTGCATGCATTAATGAAGGAGATCTTTGCAGATGGTGGTTAACCTTCACCAACCTGAGTACTGTCTGAAAGTCTCTGGTCCCAAGAACACAGGGATCATGGATCTTTTCTCCTCTGCATTATAGACATAATATAACAGTTTCTTATATCTGGGGGGCTAAAACATGATCACAAAATGATGATACTTTTACTAGTTTTAGATACAGAAAACACAACATGTAAGATTCATCTGTTAATGCTGCAGAGGAATATGTTGAGCAAGGAATTATGAAAAATTTCATTATCCTTTTAATTGTCAAATGAATTTAAAGCCTTAGCAACTAGGTAAAATATTGGCCTTGTTTTCCGTCTGTCAATGATCCCATTGAAACTTACTTACAATTCAAAATCATGATTGTCTATAGTGTGTGCATGAAAGTAGGTGTTCATGGATTTCCAGCATTAGCAACTTAATTCTTAATTCTACATAATGTATTTTGGCACAAAATTGGCCTGCAACTTTTTAGCAATCACCCCATGCTTATAGATACTTAATAAGAATATCAGATTCTGCATTACCATCATCATTGGTCTGCTAGTAAATACTCTGGAATTATAAATGGTCTGTTTTTTTTTTACTGGAGTATAGTAATCTTTGATGCAATTTTACAAACATTATTTGATTTTATTCTTACATAGTGGAGGTGGAGTAGTCCCCTTTAAAGACAGTCTCACGGTATTTTTATGAAGACATGATAGTTTCAGAGGATTAAATAACAGCAACAAACGCAAATCATGGCTGGTCTTAAAATAACAACAGGGCTTGAAATACCACCTGCATACATGTATGTAGGTTAGTGTCTGCCAGGTAAAATTGGAGCTGTGCATGCATATTTCTGATGTCTACCTGCACATAACCTGCACCGGTCCATGTACTACATACAAATTCAGGTGTATATGGAGTTTTATTTGCTGCATTGACTCTTACCACCTATAAAGTATAAAAGTATAAAAGGAATGATGGCAATAGTTTCTGAACAGTTTAAAGTATGATCTATATCCTTCATATAAACTAAATTCTGAGTGCAGGTGCAGGTAATTTTCAAGGTTACTCCGACCAGTGCAGGTATGCAGTTTGTGGGCTCTCGAATTTGCCTCTTCATTTTTTTCTGATTTGCAAAAAAAAAAGATTCTGGTTCTGAATCAACTCCAAATAATTATGCTCATATTTTGCCCCCATGGTTGAGGAAAGTTTTTCCATCTATCAATGCAGTGGTTTGATTAAAAGTTCAAAATTCATTGTTTAAATATTAACCCAGCCTTTTGTGTTGACTTCATGGCTCCTATTGTAGCATTTGGGGCTATAATAGGATGCCTAGACCTGTTTTTATTTTTCATTTCTTCGCCGTCGCTTCACATATTTTCTGAAAAAATCCGAGAACCAACAAATTGAATTGGTGTGGTCTAAGGTTCAATAATTTTGATCCAAACATTCTCTTACCATAGACAACACATACTCACCTGGCTGTCCGAGTTTCCTGGGCCCCAGCGAGGACCGTGCCTTAGGCTTGGTGGTGACACTGTAGAAGTAAGGTGTAGGGAGCAGAGGTCGGGGGTTAGGGGTCGACCTGGGTCTGTCCACCTCTGCAAACTGCACAATTTCAGTCGGTCTCTCTGGATTTCTCAAACTCCTGATGATGAAAGAAAATCATCCATATCAACATATGATTGTCTCATAACCTACGAAGAGTATGTACTAATTTACAAAGTTTATGTGGTGTGTCTTTTTAGCAAATGACCACAAATGATCACTCTGGGGATGTGTCGCATGAATCTTTGTTTGTTTTGCATAACCGGTAAACTGCCGTTTTTAGGCGTAACATACCAGTTTTGTACATGTAAGTACAAGTTGTGTAAGACCAGACTGTAACATGTTGAAATAGGTCTGGTGTACCCCAATATGCAAAGTTTCTGTGCTTTACAAGACATGATGTTACCATACATGTACATGTACATAAGTGACAATTGTACATTATTTGCAATCATGTTTCCATTTTGACATCAGTTTTTTTTACCTGTACATCATTGTGTCTTGCACAATCATGCATATGCTTGGGTATGCTTATCAATCTTAAAAACCCTTGGCCTGCGGCACCCAGCAATTGTTGGGTTGCACATACAATACCATCCACATAGCACACTGTATACATTTGTACAACATTTGTGTCATGTAGGTACAATTTGGGGCATTTCTCGTGCAACGCATCACACTGCAGCAAAGCACAACGATTGCGGAAGTAGCTACATGCATGCCAGTACAGGGAAAAAAAAGTCAGGGGTCTATGAGGGTTGAACATTCAAACAAAAACAAAAAAAAAACACATAGAGCATGGTATGGTGAATAATAAACGCTTCATTCTAATTTCTTTTTCTCATTTTCCTTAGTAGGAATTGATTTTGGCATTCTACGATATTAATATCATCTTCCAATATTTTTTCCAACTTATTTTACTTGCAGCATAATATTTTGAAGCTGCTTTGTACGATTTACAATATGGTGAAACATACATAACGTTACATTACATATCCTGGCTTTGATTATCAAAACCTTTTTTTTTAAATGGAAGAAAATTCATGTGCGTGTGGATGTCATCCATATAATCAAATCAACATGGCCTATGATGCAGTCCCTCATCACCCAGGCATGCAGACATTTGATCCCAGAACTAGAGGGTGGCATCAATGGAAATCAGGATAGGTCCAGACATACCTATCCTTTAGGGACCCTACGGTATT